ATATTTTTATTTTTTTTATATAAATATATAAAAGTTTTTATTAATATTCAAAAATTTCTATACCTCAAAAATTTTTCTATATCTCAAAAAATTTTCTATACCCCAAAAAATTTCTATACCTCAAAAAAGCGTTTGGCAAACTTGTGATAAAAACAGCTTTCATATTACGCCGCTAGATGGCAGCGCTGAAAGCCGCTTTGAGCAAGTTGCCAACTCAGTAGATTTTCTACTAGATCTGGTGGATAAACATAGCCGTCTGGTGGGAAAAAATAAAAAAATCCACCATGGTGGATTTAGTAGAAATTAGTTGTTTTTCAATGTAACGATTTTTTTAAATTTAATTGTCAAAGTGTAAGAATATTAATTTCAAAAACTAAAGTCACTAGATTTTTAGAGTCCCTATAAAGTTTAAACATGGATGCTTTTGACTTAATCTGATTATTTTTAAATATATAGTAATATTTATTATTATTTATAGAAGTAATATTTATTTTATTTTGTGTTGTTTCTTTTTTAAATAAATTGTGCTAATATAGTTTATCAAAATTTATAAACCCCCCCCCCGCTTTTCCCTATTTTTTGACACTATCTAATTTCTGGTGGTTTCTGGTGGATTTTATTTAGGCTTTTGGTAGAACTACTTCATTTCATGTTGGCAACACTCAGAGCAACTATTATCTTAGCGTTTCAAAATCAATCAAAAAAGTAATTTAAAAGTTATGGAGTTTTGTTCAATTGACGACTTTTTTAATGAATTGCTGATGTGTTTTGAATCAATTTCCCAAATGCTTTTAAACAACGACTTGGAAGTATTACGAATCAAACAATTGGAATTGGAGGATTATTACACACTGTTATTTATATTTCATAAAAATGTTAGAGATGATAACATATTAAAAGAAAATATAATATAAAGTCGGCCGCCCGAAATTGAATTTATCTCGTGAACAATTAGAAACACTACGAAATTGTAGTTTATGTTTTAAGCGCTGCCATCTAGCGGCGTAATATAAAAGATGTTTTTATCACAAAGTTTGCAAAACACTTTTTAGAGGTATAGAAATTTTTTGGGGTATAGAAAATTTTTTGAGATATAGTTAAATTTTTGAGGTATAGAAAATTTTGAATATTAATAAAAACTTTTATATATTTAAAAAAATAAAAATATTTTACAAAAATTATATATATATGGAAAAATTTTATAAATACATGCAAATTATATAAATATTTGCAAATAAAATATATACAGACTGTATAGAATCAAGTAAGGCTGGAGACAAGGATGACAAATTATATTCTGATCAGAGAAAAAGAAACAAACTTGAATTGGGCGTGGTTTAAACCAAACCATTCGTAATTACGAACCATAGTTGCCAGGTTGTTTTAAATCAGAAGAGAACGATTATAATTATTTAATAAATAGTTCAATTTTAATTGTTTGAAACTTTAAAAATAACAAAAAAATTAATAATATGTCAAAAATAATTTGATTTAGTTAATTTTCTTACTTTTAATATTAAAAAATAAGAAAAACAACCCTTTTAGGAAACAATAATAGCATATGGCAACAGCGCGGCATGCAGTTGATCTACTGGGTTTGTTCAGTAGTTCCGACGCTGTCGTAGGGAAATGTGTATAGTTTTTAAGAAATACATTTTCGCCATTAACTGGAATTTAATGGATTTTAAACAATACTTAGTTTTTATTTGCAGAAATGCATTAAAATAAAACAAACGAATTCGATAAAAATAAAACCTATAAATTCTCAATCCCTACCACAGTGGGCGGGGTTTGGCACTTGTTTTATTTAAGTGTATCTATTCGTCTTAATACACACTGTATATCAGAAAAATTAATTAGGTCCTGAACGGCGCCTCATAAGAAATATTTTATGAAATAAATAAATAATTGAAAGGTGTGGACGGGACAAAAAAAAGATTTATCTTGTCCCGTCCACCCCTGTCAATTATTGAAGTTATCTCTACTTTTATAAAATATTTCTTGCGATTTTTGTTATTTAATGTATAGCCTAATAATAGAAGAATATATTTGACAATTTTGATGCAAAAATATTATATAATAAATTACCTACAATTTTTTTTATAAAAACAGTTTTGTGATTTGTCCCGTCCATGGCCGATTTGTAAATTGTATAATATTAAATGGTCGCTCAATTTCGCGCTCAATGGGGCGGGGGGGGGCCCAATTGGGCGGGGTCGGTTGGGTTGGGTTGTTGAGTTTGGGTTGGTTTGGGTAATTCCCTTAATTAAATTTTAATCAATGTTTATACAAGTTGAAAGTTTGCTTAATAATTACATAATTATTATCAAGAGTTAACTAGCTGTTTACCAACTGTTATACAACTGGGCCTTAGTGTAACAATATAATCTCAACTAATAAATCCGAAATTTTACCATCAGCTGGTATGGAAAAACGCATGCGCACAAACCTGATGTACGTTTAATGCCCGTACTCCCGGTGTACTTCTAGTCACGGCGTTATAAGAAACCTTTTTTTACTTTAATGGTAATTTTATACTCTGCTAGAGTATAAAAGTTATCCTAATAATAATTTTAATACTCTATAAAATTACGATTAAAGCGCCGACTTCTGTCTAACCTAACTTTTATACTTTGCTAGACACAATTGTGGTAGGTAAATACTTTAATGTTGCAAAAATATTATTTGGTGTTTTCCCCCACTGCTAGCTACAATTTGACCCTAGAGACCAGGGTGGAAGAAGGAGTTGATTCAACTCCGTCGTATAAGGCGGCCAGATAAGTCAGTATTTGTTAAAAATCCAAATAGATGGCAGTTAATTGGCAGTTTAAAATTTCTGATCATTTTTGTTTATATTGTACATTTTTGGGCACTTGGAAAATACTTCTTTTCACTTTACGATTAGTAACATTGCATCCCGGAACACAACAAACTTTTCCCATCATAAAAAATAATTTTTAAACACTCGTGGCGACATCTCTGTTTTTAATATCTAACAAATTTTAGACCGATCCAACCTCACTTTCTTCCAATTAAATTATTTTTCTATGGTATTTTTTGGAAACGTAGAAAAAGTATAGTCTGAAACACGTTTGGAATTGCATATTCCGCTCTCGTGAAACCGTCAAACTCGCCTTCGGCTCGTGTGACAAACTCTTCACTCGAGCGGAATATGCTGTATTCCAAACTTGTATCAGAATATACTATTATCGGATTGATCAGGGTATTGATTAACCTCAAAACATAAAGCATTGACATTAAAAAAATATCCGTTAAAACGTCACTAATCGTCCTAATCTCGCGCGCCATCTAAAGCTCAACGAACGAAGTACTGACTTATGTGGACGCTGCCAAAGATAATATCTTTGGACGCTGCTTCTGTACTTTAGAGATAGAAGCTATATCACCTCCTTATTCCATCCTGCTAGAGACCAAAGACAGTCTCTGCTAGAGACCCAAGATACATACAGCTGCTAGAGAGTCCAGAGGTGTTCTTTCCTAGGAATTTAACATTGTGATGTGAAGGACATTCGTGTTGTATCAGTTGTTTGCTGAAATTAATAAAAATAATACCAGAGACAAAAACCCTTCTACCACCGTCAATTCAATGAATTGATTTAATACCATGTTGTTCTCTAATAATATATTTATTGTGCAAAAATATAGGTACAACATACAAAAGTATAAAAAAAAATAGTCAAAAAATAATTTTTTTAGATATTTTATTTTTTATCTTTTTATGAATAAGAAAAATCCTTATATTACCTATACCTAAATTTTTGCAGATAATATTGGAGTAATTTTTTTAAGTTTGATAGAATTTTTATTTATTTTGTTTTTGGCAGACTATTGGCCGGCACATTCCGGTCAATTTTTTTATTGCTGGCCGGCATGGTCAAAAATTTTGACCATGCCGGCCAGCAATAAAAAAACTTTTTATTTATATACCGCCATTTTTGTTATTTCGTCTAAATGTCATTTACGTCACAGATTTTACAACAGTTCTATGTTTGTGATTTATGGAGGAAAAAATAAAACTTCGAAGTTCTACCTGTGTTTATAACTAAAAATGTGCAAACATGCATTTTTTATTCATGCATTTATGTGCACATAAAAATATTATATTTTATAGAATTAGAAAAAATAATACAAGTTTTTTATTTCATTAAAGAAACATAAGTTTTAACTTAATTTTTGGTACATTTTAAATTAGTCCAATTCGTACAAAAATCACAGCGATCAAATTGCAGTTACGAACTTTTGCAGAAGGTACAGATTTACTGCTCTATCATGTTTTGCAACAACGCTAAGCTTAATACAAAGATTAAAACGCGGAAACATTGGAGACCCATTAAATCTTGGTAGGGATGAGGGTTCGCCTGCTCCTAATAAAACATTATGTCGTGGACGCCCTATAGAGAATACCAGAAAGATTCAGTTGGGTTGTAAATTGAACGGTAAGATGGTTAGAGCGATACGAGTTGGAGGTTGCCGAAGTATTACCGCTAAAAAACATTAACAAAGAAGGAACTGTTGGAAGAAGCTCTAAATCTGTTTTTCCCGAATAAGGTATCCCAATTTGGGCCATTAGATAATTTTACTTATGACCTACTAGACTATCGGGAAAACGATATTGATAAAAAACTAACAGTTGGCCATATCTACAATTCTTCAAAACTTACTGCCCTGCGGTTCTACCTTGTCACAAATAGTCTAAACTCCGACGGAGAATCAACAGAAAATAATTTACCCCGAAGTACTCGTAAAATGTACGCAAAAGAAGCAGAAGCAAATCAACAGAAATTGAAGATGCATCCTCTACGAGTAAATCTGACAACATTTTGGAAGAGTTATTGTCATTTTACCCCGATACTGGAGGCGAACCGCAATCACACTTTGAAGCGATGGAAGATGTCCAATCCACAGAGCTCCTTCTATTCTGTGAGTTATACATATAAGCAAATAATTATGTTCACAGGTGTGAATTTTAAAACTTTTAGGTTCAACACACTACAAATGTTCTCGTCGATGTAGATGAGCTGGTGTTCGAAACAAACATCGAGAGAGCGATAAATAAAAGCTAACAGAAAATACATGCCCATCTCTGGAAGAAATACTGGAACTAAACAATAAAATAAATACAGACAGAATTTCGAAATTCAATATTTACCGCGCCGATATATTTAATTGCTGCATTAGAGCCCTGCGCAGAAAAATGTTTTCCCCATTCAATAAAATCAGTGTATTGTTTAGCGATATTGAGGGAAACAGCGAAGGAGTCGTAGATGCAGGAGGACCGATGCGTGAGATGTTCCGTCTCGTAATTGGCTACATCCGGAATAGCAGGATGTTTTTTGGCGAAGAAAATAAATATATAACATTGGATGGGGAAGCCCTGCAGAAAGAACACTATTTCAAAGTTGGGTTAATTGCGTTATCAATCATTCATGGAGGACCCGCTCTATCTTTTTTCTCAAAAAGTCTTTATTCTGGTGTGGTGGGTGAAGGATATTCAAAAACTGATTTCACATTAAATGACGTTGAGAATGAAATACGAGAGAAGATTTTAAAAGTGGATTCAACGAGTTCATGGATTTACAAAAATACGTGGAAGATGAAACGGTTTTTGCTATCGCTGGTTGGCCAACCATAAGAAAAATGGAGGACAAATTTACGATGTTGAAAGGTACTTATCTACATGAATCTACAAGGACTAAATTAATTAATTAATTAATTAATTAATTAGTTTCATTTTACGATCGTACGAGGCATAGGCAAAAATTTCCGTCTGAAAATTCAATTTATTTGGGTATTGTTAGAGGACACCTAAATTTAGTACTTGTAGATTCATGTAAAAAAGTACTATAGTTAAATGGTTATTAATTATTACATCTTGTTTATTTACTGATTTTGTTAAGTTCTATGCATATGATCGTATTAGACCAGCCTTAGAACAACTGCAAGAAGGCTTGAAAACTGGTGGACTATTGGATGTAATGAGACGATATCCAAGCTTACTTTAAAATATAATGTGTGAAAACAAGACTTGCCTTACAGCCGATGTTTTAAATGAATTATTCACCGTTGTCTATTCTGTACAAAATTCATCGCAACGACAACTAGAGAACAGAACAATAACATTTTGGAGAGATTTTCTACATGATTGTGAAGGTATTCTAGCTTCTGCTTTTAATTATAGTGATTTAGTAACATAATTTCGAATTTTTAGATGGCGACAGCGAAGTATCATTGGAAGATGTATTGATATTCGTCACAGGCACTGACAGTGTGCCGCCGCGGCGCGCCGTTACGATTTGAAAGCAAACCTAGTAGGTTTAACCTACTGTTATATTTCAAAATGATTGCTTATATGCCACGGCGAATACATGCGGACTGGAAATAAGGCTTCCAATGATTCATACGACATATGAAGAGTTTAAAAGCAATGTAATGACATTGGCATTGCAAATTGTCAAGACTTTGCGTTGGCTTAGTTTAAAATATTTTTATTTTTTGTTTAAAAAAACAGTATTTATTGCTCATTTATTTGAAATAAACACTTATAGTTTTTTGAATTTTATTTTTTATTATAGTTAATTAAATATTTTATAGGTGTAAGTAATAATGCTATTTTCTGCTTTTTTGTTTTTATTTTAAGTTTTCGACCGGTTTCGGCTTAGGTCATCCTCAGGGGACTTAGGGGACACTTGAATTAAATTAGTTTAACATAAGTTATACAGTAAATAGTAGTATTGTTTATATAGATTAGAGTAAGTATTTAATTTTTAAATGAATGGTTAAATTTTAGGATAGTTTTTGTTTAAGTAAATAAAGGGTGGGATTTATTAGCCCGTCAGAAAAGGAAAACTAACGACAGAAAATATGAATAAAAAAGTATAAACGACATTTCTTAGGAATTTAACGGCTCAAAGGAGAAATAATAGTTACGTCAACGGTGGCGCCAAGTCTCGCAGGCTGATTTCTTCGAAATTATAGGTAGAGAGCACATTCGAACGGTGTCGATAGGTTCAAGAGAAGCACTTAACTGAAAGCCTTTCAGTTCAGTGCTTTTTTTGCACCTATCGACACCGTTCGAATGTGCTCTCTACCTATAATTTCGAAGAAATCAGCCTGCGAGACTTGGCGCCACCGTTGACTTAACTTGTATTTATACTTTGAGCGGTTACATTCCTATGCAATATTCTTAAATTTTTTTAAAATAAAGTATGATACAAAAAATTCGTAAATAATTATGCTGTAAAAATTTTGCATTTAATAATTTATTTAAATAAGAATGTCGTACGAAGAAGAACCTTAATTGGTTATTATTAGAAATTGTTACGATGAAGAGCCTTTTGAAGATGACGAGTCTAAAAACGTGAAACAGTGAAATGTACATAGAAGGGCGACTCCAGCTCCCTCCTCCCAGTGATGCTCACTCATGGGAAATTTCCCTTTTTGAAGGAAATTTTATCTCAAATTTGGAATAATGGAAAAAAGGAAATTATTTTTTTAAAAAGGCGTCCATGAGGGAAATTTAGGGAAGCGTTGAAGGACCACCAACATTTTTTTTATCTCGTCCGGTCGACATAGTATCTTTGTGTTAGCCAAACTACTTTAAAACGACGTCTAAAATCTTTAAATTTGTATCGCAAAAAACTGTTGATGTATCTATTTTCTGGAATCTCAAGTTCTATTGTCTAAAGGTTTACACGGTTACAGATGGGTGCATTGTAAATGTCTGGGCAACTTAACCTCATAATAATTATAATAATAACCTATAATAAAATTAATTTTCTCGACCGGTCGGCATAGTTACTAATTAATACTGTTACCAAATTTCTAAAATGGTGTCTTTTTTTTAAATAATTTCTCTTATATTTTAAAAACGATTTACGGCATATTTAAAAAAGCGTGTAAAAAAATGGAAGTTTTGAAATTTGCTGCAAAATGGTTGGCAACACTGCCTCCTCCCAGTCAAATGGCATGCAATGGGAAGAGCACACTGGGTCTGTCAGACTTGGGGGACATCCATTAATTATGTGAGATAAAAATAGGGGGAAGGGGTCTAGCAAAATCTCACAAAATCTCATGTTTAGGGAGGAGGGGTCATTTAAAATCTCACGTCAACTTTTGGGTTTAAAGAATATTTATATTCTTATAAGTATTATAATTATAATGGCTAGAATCTCACGTGAGGGATAGGGGGGTCTACCAAATCTCGCAAAGGGGGAGGGAGGGGTCTGAATTATCAGAAAAATACTTCACGTAATTAATGGATGTCCCTTTGGCACCACTGGCGTCACGCCAGTATTCCAGGGTTAATAATAAATCACACTAACAAGTTAATTTTTAATAACAATTTTTAAATTAATTCCACCAAACATACTGTAATATATATTGTGTATTCTATCTAAATCTATTTAGTAAATAGATGTATAAGTAACTTTTATTTAATGTACTAAATCAAAAACTAACCTTAAATTTAACCATTCACATAAAAATAAAATACTAACTCAAATCTATATAAATAATTTACTTCTTCCTGTATAACTTATGTTAAACCAATCTAATTCAAGTTTATTAATTGTGTCCACTGAGGATGGCCTAAGCCAAAACCGGTCAGGAACTTATAGAAAATGTGTCTATTAGTGTAAAGAATTTTTAAATATTAATTTGGAAGGTGTCGATATGAACTACTTGAAAAGGCTTAGAACTGGAGGGTGTTAAGTTAAATTTAATTTTTGGTGGATTTCTGTCATACTTTGACGTTTGGCAGATATCAACATCTACTTTTAAATTTGGCCAATAATATTTTCTTTTAAGTGCTAATTCCGTTTCGTTAATACCACGGTGACAGGTTTTTGTTTCATGATGGTGTCTTATCTTTTCTTGTTGGTCTTCGAAGTTTTGAACGTCTTCTAGCATTTTCATACTTTGAACTAATTTAAAAGCTGAATTTTTAAATGTTCTTTGAACAAAAACTGTAAAGTCTAAAATTATTTCAGGATTTTTAAAGTGAAGACAATAGTTTTTTTTACTAGTTACATGTTCTTAAAAAAAAAATATTATACCTTGCTCAAAATTTAAACGTGGTAAAGATACTCGTGTCCTATATTTTTCTTTAAAAGGTTTTGAAGTCATAATGTAGATATTATTTAGTTTGTAATTACCAGAGACTATAATTTGGTTTGTATAGCAATTAACCCATTTTTCTGTTATTGGGATTGTAAAAATTGGGTCTTCGATAGCGGTATGAATCGTAGAAAGAGATGATTGTTCATCTAATTCTTTTGTTTTCAAATCTGGAGGTCTAATTTGTATGTCACAAATTATATTGATTTTAGAAGGGTTAGTATTGTCAGGTGTTATACCAAGAATTTCGTTTAAAGTTTCATCGTCTATATTTGGAAGATTCGATTCGTTTTTAAGATATCGTCCAATTTCATCGTCAATAAAACCGGGTTCGGCTATAATTGATGACGTTTCTATAGGGTGAATTTCTACACGGGATAGAGCATCAGCATTGGTGTTGATTTTACCTTTTTTATATACGACTTCAAAATCAAATTCTTCCAGCTTTAATTTTCAGCGTATTTGACATGAATTAGGATTTTTTAATTTAGTTAACCATTCTAGAGGTTTATGGTCTGTTACGATTTTAAATTTGTTGCCATACAGATAAGGCCTAAAATACTTAGTAGCCCATACAATTGCAAGTAATTCTCTGTCAATTGTAGAATAATTACATTCTGCTGGGTTTAATGTACGTGAGGCGTACGCCACTGGCAAATCGTTTCCTATCGTACCTTGGGATAATACTGCACCTATTGCAAAATTTGATGCGTCTGTTGTTACATTAAATGGTTTACTAAAATCAGGGTATTGTAGTATTGGATGATTTGTTAAAAGGTTTTTACAGTATTCAAATGTTTTAATAAATTTTTGATCATGAACAATTTTTTCTCCTTTCTTTAAACATTTAGTAAAGGGTTTAGTAATTTTAGCAAAGTCTTTTTATAAACCTTCTATAGTAGCCTATTAAACCTAAAAATGATTTAATATCTTTTACTGTTTTTGGTTTTGGAAATTGTTTAATAGATTTAATTTTATTAGGATTTGGTTTAATTCCTTCTGGTGTAACTACATGTCCTAAAAATTCGACTTCTTTGCGTAAAAATTCCGATTTACCTAATTGGATTTTTAATTTTGATTTTCTTAATTTGTCAAACACTAATTGTAAATTTGAGATGTGTTCATCAAGTGAACTTGAAAAGATAATAATATCGTCCATGTAAACAAAACATATTTTATTTTGTAAGTCATGTAAAATGTTGTCCATATGGACAATATTACTCTCTGAAAATTCGCTGGTGCGTTTTTTAGTCCAAAAGGCATACGTGTATATTCAAAATGACCGTTTTCAACATTGAATGCGGTTTTTTGAATGCTTTCCGGATGCATTTCGATCTGGTGAAACCCTGAGGCTAAGTCCAGAGTAGAGAAATATTGACAACGTCCGAGTTTGTCAAGGATGTCATTTATGTTAGGGATTGGATATCTGTCATCTATTGTTTTTTCATTTACCTTGCGGTAATCGACAACAATACGCCATTTTTTATTACCTGAGGCGTCGAGTTTTTTAGGCACAATCCAAATTGGAGAGGACCAAGGACTAATGGAAGGTCGTATAATAACATCATCTAACATTTTGTTAATTTGTGTTTGGACAGATTTATGACAAAAAGGATATCTATAGGATTTTGTGTAAACAGGAATTTCGTCAGTTGTTTTTATGTCATGTTTTACTCGATTAGTAAATGTCAGTGAGTTTTCGCCTGTATAGAAAATGTCTGAGTAATTTTTACATAGATTTACAATTTTATTTCGTTCTTCTGAGTTAAGATGGTCTGTTCTAATTAAATTTTGTATATTAGTATTATTTTGTCGTTTAAAATCTGATGTTAGATTTTCTATATTAAAAATTGTAAAATGTTCTTTTTTTGAATCAGGAAAGGGAATGCAATTTAAAGGTTCAGTTAGTTCAATGACTTGCTGTTGATCTGTAAAGTTTCTTATTTCAATATACGCAAAACCTTTATTAGCTACGGATAGAGTTTCTGGTATATGGCAATTATTTAATAATTGTTCTTTTATTATTACGTCACCTTAGTAAACATTTACCTTGACTTTGACTTTTATTATTTCAAATGCATTGACCTTTACAATTTGCTTATCATTTAGTGGTTTATTTCTATATTGAATAGGAATTTGAATATGATCATTAAAAATTATTCTATTAGGGAAATCAATTTTAA